TATGTGAACAGTTAAGAAACCACACAAATGTGCAGACAAATGCATTGTCAACTGATGAAGTTCTCAAAAATTTAACAGATATCACAGTAAATATTCAACTTCGTTATAAAATAAATTACAATGTAAAATTAAAAAGCTAATTAACATTCTACAATAAATTATAATATTAATATTTATCAGAAACTGCATTCAAAATTTAAAAAAATTTATTTAGGTTTAATGTATCTGAGTTTAGGATAAATTTATCATTATAGTGCAATAGTATATAAATTCTTTTGTTTAAAACCCATAATTTTTTCTGTTGTCATTTGCAAAATAGATTTTTCGGCTTTAACTCTTTATTAGCTGTATCATCGAGCTCAGTTATACCGGGTGAATTGAATGATCTCATGACTAAAGATTCTACTACTTTTTTATTATTGATCTGTATTCGAATAGAATCAACACGGTGTTTTAGGCGTGATTACTTCATTTCTCAGTCATGTGGCTAATTTTATTGAGGATCAAACTTATCGTAATAGATAAAACCGGACATGTCTACATTAGAATGCTCTGTATCTAAACTTCAAATTAATCCATTAATATATAATATAATTTAACATATTAATTTATATATAATCCATATAAATTAATCCACACATAAATATTTTTCGCATTCCTTTAGATCCAGATTTTATATAATTGGATCTCTCTTATTGAGCAGTTCTCAAAATAAGCTTTAAAATTCTTTAAAATAAAAGCAATGAAAATTTTATCGAGAATTTCTTTATTTTAGATTAAAATTCTAAATAATCAGAAACAAACCTGAACATTTTTATATATTTTTATTACTTTTATGTCATTACTATAATAAATTCTTTTTGCATAATGAAATCAACTTGAAGAATGTAAAAATGCACTTTTAATTTTCTTATTCTCATAAATTTATGTATTTTATTTTATATTTTACAGTTGGAAATGTCATGTATATGACGTAAGATTTCCTCTCCTCCATTTAACAGTATAACCCAAATACATAAAAATAAAAATTGCTGTACATAATTTGCATATTGTTAATAAAACACGAATAAAAGTGAATCATTCTCTATTGTAAGAAATATACACTCTTTTTTTATTTTTATTTTTTTTTGTTACTCTTTTCACTTTTTGAACTTTTAATCAAGCCCATCGTGGGTTCGACCAGGCCCATTATGAAACAGTCAAGTGGTGAGGGACGGAGTCTGACACATTTCTAACCATCTCATAAAAATTCCTGGAGTTTCGAACCGACTGGATTAGAGACAGAGTCCCTAGAGCGGCTTACCCATTCAGCTACCCGGCCATCGATATACACTAGCAAAAAAATTACGAATTCACGTAGAATTGTTCGATTACTGTAAAACTCGGCATAAAGCTGTGTCTCAGACGATATGTAAACAATTACAGTTGTGGTTTGAATGTATACTAGATAATGCTACCAGAATGTCTTAAAAATTGCTAGAGATTCAGAATGTAATTGCCATATTGAAAATTTATTTTAAATAGTTTTGGCTCAAGATCATATAATGAAAAAGAAAAAACATTATTAAAAGAGAAAGACCAATGCCTAAATTAAATATAAACACTTGAACAAAAAAATTTGTTCGACATTTTTACGATAAAATTTATGAAGACATAAAATGGCTCTGTAGATGCATAAAAATGCAAAAATTGTTTTTTTTTGGCTTGCCTATTGTTTTCAAATGAAATTAGTGTGTGGAATAAGAATGGCTTTGATGATTTAAATAATTTGAGTAAAGCTAACAAAAGACACGAAAATCGTAAATGTCATGTCGATTCTTTCGTAAAATTGAAGCAATTTGGAAATCAAAGCAGAATAGAATTTAACATTAGTAAACAATATAAAATAAATATTGAAAATTATAACGAGATAGTTATGGTTAATAGATATATTATATCTAAATTAATAGATTTTTTTATCAAAGGCATTTAGAGAGCATAGGGAATCTATCGAATCTAATAACAGAGGTAATTATATTGAACTTGTTTATTTATTAAGTACATCAGATAATCTATTAAAAATATATTTAGAGAAGTCTACGATTTTTACTGGCTTATCGAACAAACGAATATGATTGGACCCAAGACCATCACTGATGCAATTAACTGATTGCCCCTGGAAGTCGGCTTCTTACAGAAACACAGCTTCTCTATCACCGAATGTCATGGCACGCCACTGCAAATTTGACTGATTTTCATAGACTTATCACACCGTGTAGGTTAATTAAGTAATGAAACGGAGTGACAGATCAAGTTCAAAAATATACGCTTCTATTAGTATTGGAAATGCATTTCGTACTTATAGTCCTTCATTAGTCCAAACGACGGCGAGCGTAGATGACTATAAGCAAAATTTCCGGTATATAATTTTCGCTTATAGTCATCTACGCTTGCTGTTTGGACTGATGAAGGACTATAAGTACGAAATGCATTCCAATAATAGAAGCGTATATTTTTGAACTTGATCTCTGACTCCGTTTCATTACTTAACCTACAATGTGTGATTTGTGAAAATCAACCAAGTTTGAGCTACAGTGGTACCTCAGGATACGAAATTAATCCGTTCCGAAACTGAGATCGTATCATGAAAATGTCGTAAGGTGAATCATTTTTTCCCATACGATTACATGTAAAACCAAATAATTCGTTCCAACACGAAAAACACACTCAAATTAATGCTAAGTAGTACATAAAAAAAATAACTATAGTAAGGAAGATACTGAAAAATGCATTTTGTAGTTGTAAATGTATAAATAACCGTAATAGAATAATAATTGATTAAAAAAAAATGTAGTTTTATTTGCACTTTACCTTTGAGGATAGACGACGGTGGAGGTGTAAACTGGTGGCGGAAGAGAGGGAGAAGGGAAATGATACTAAAACTTAACTTACATAACATAATGTAACAATAACTTAAAAATAACTTAGAAAAGATTAAAAAAATTAGTGTTGTTTTATATATATTTAAAAATTTTTATTCACTGCTTTTTGTTTTCTTTCCTTCACTTCCACCAGCACTTTCACTGGATTGAGGTTGCTTGGTAAAATATCTATCCAAAGAAGTTTGGCTTTGCCTACTTTTTAAAATGTTTCTAAAATGACTTAGGCAAATGTCATTACTCCGAGCAGTTATACGGCCAGTGTAAACCTTTTTTGGGGTGTTTCTTTTCAATAAAATCAGTCCCTTTCTGATAATACCTCATGATTTCCTTTATCGAGTGAGATCCTTCCACGACGAAGCAAACACGTGGACTGAGACCAATGAACAGAAGTGAATAAAAAATGGAGCTGCGAACTAATGTAACATCGTATGGCGAGTTTTTGTTCGTAACCTGGAGCAAAAATATGTTCGAATTTCATGTCGTATCCTGAAAATTTCGTATGTTGGGGCGTTCGTATCCTGAGGTACCACTGTATACGAAATTGTCGGTGTATTTGTTGTTGGGAGGTCTTCAAACTCCAAGCGTATCTGTATGATGTAGTCAAAGATATTACGCATATCTGTTTAAATTTGAGAAAAACAGTATCATCTGGTGAGAATTACAGGATGGCCGATTCGCCGAATTGCCTTCCATCTGGACTATTATGACCTGTGAGAAGGTATTCGGACAGTAACGGAACATACATAGACAGTGAGCAGGTTTTGGACTCTCCAAACAAATCACCAGAAGAGCTGATAGTCTAATCGTGAGACAACTACGAACAACTGCATAGAGTTTCTCTGTAACCATTCAAAGACAGGTTTTTCGCCAAAGAACCCTGTTCTTTCCGAATCATTGGCAGCCGACTAGCAGAAGAAAATTTGCATGTACGGCGACCGCTATGTGCCCTGCAATTAGAACTGCAATGTCGTCGGTATTATTTGCAGTATTAACACGAGAGAGGCAATATCTTTAGCGTCGAATTTTGGTTGTTTGGAACGGATGATCAACGTGGTAAAATATCGAAGATCACTGGTAAGCGCTTCAATCTTGTCTTTGATGTTGAGTAGTACACTGCTCCCAGTGCTGGCACACTTGTCAAGGAAGCCATTTCTTATAACATTTGATCATTTTTAGCCGTGTTGGGGGGAAACATTGACGCCACAGCGGTATAGTACATCAAAGAAATTTTGCGCTGCCATGTGTTACCTGTTAGTGGCAAGGCTGCAAACAATCGCTTTTAACCGCACACAGATAAGGTTTCCTAGAAATGTCTCCAACGCATTGCCACACTTTCTTAAGATGTTCGGTTTTCTGATTTGTGGGACCGGATACGATGCTAGCTTTGACCATCTACGAGTATGATCTGGAGCGACAGTTGCAGCATCTATGAGAAAATCTGTTTTAGGATAGCATACGGTGCCCGACGGCCTGGTGGCCAAGCAGTCAGCCTACTGCTCTGGTGAACCCGAGAACGAATGTGAACCGATCGAAAAATCCCAGGAAGTTTTCGGAGAGTGGTTGTTCTGAATATCTCGAATCAGTTTCTCACGTTTCTCACCAGTTGCCTATCCTATTGCGGGCCTACCGGACTCACAATGAGCTTGATTAAAGGTCCGTCGTAGTGCTTGCAGGGCGAAGAGTAAAAAAAAATCCTACCGTATTGACGCATCTATCTAGGCAAGAGGAAGTCCTAAAAGGTACTAAAGATTCTTTTAAATTATACTATTGTTTCACAGAATATTGCCCCTTTCTATGATATTATAACCACTTATTATCAATGTCATTACGTTTGCTATAATAAAGTTTTATTTAATTTCATCGCCTTCTTGCTAAGGTTTTGTCGATGAAAGCAGTTTATATATGAACTTACAAAAAGTTACATATAGAAGTATTTAAAAGTAAAATTAATTTAAAAATTTCATTAGTACATTTGGAAGAAAGAAACGAAGATAACTTCAATAAAGAGGAAAAAAAATTCACGAGTACAGTAATGTAATTTTTAACCGATCGGCCCGCCTCTAGTGTCGATGTTTTGTATTAAAAGCCAAGATGGAAGTCGTCTGCGAAGAAAAGGAAAAACGAGATATAGAAAATAAATCCTCTTACGAAGGAAATAAAACAGAAAACGAAAGTGTTATCGTTAGTCCGTACGAAAAGAAGTATTATGCCTTGTTACGGCGATGTCAGAACGTTCAACAGGTTTGTTAGATCGACTTTTAAAGCAGAAAAATGAATCCGGTTTTAAGAGATGTTTTGATTCGTGTAAAACAGCAAATATTTTTAATTAACTGTGACGTCAGATCGTATCCACGTGTTAAAGAACTTGAACATTGTTCGTATTGTCTTGATTTTCAAATATGAAAATAATTTTGGGCTGGTGTTTGATAATATTAAAAGCTATCGATATATTTGAAAGAGCCAAAATTTCTATTCCCAAATTTAATATTTTCAGATGTAATTTCTCAAGTTCAGAATCCTACAAAACTTAAGAATGTTGAATACTTCAATATTATAATAAAATTCATACTAGATTAGTATTCAATAAGTTTTTTTTTATTCTTTCTGCCCAAGAGGATTTTTTTTGGGCCTGTCGTGCTCAAAAATTGGTCGTCTGGATGGTGAGGGACAAATGCTCTGATTTTATTTTGGGTTCCAGGAGTGGTGGGCTGATCCCTTGACCACCTTGGTCGTCGGCTGGCCAAGAGATAACATTGAAATGTGCACTTCTTATGTAAGTCTTGTATGATTCCTAACATAGCAAACTGCATTGTTTGATGCAATTTGGTCTAAGAGGCAATTACTAATAAATATAAAAGCTGTCGTGTGTGTGAATTCCTTATAACTCCTACAACTTTTTCCAATAAAATCAGATGAAATTTTGCATATATTTGTTTCATGTTCTGACAAAAAGTATAGGCTACTTATTTTGTAGAAATATTAGCTATAGAATATAGGTGATCACACTTAAGTTGCAGTGACATCAGTGACAAAGTGACGTTTGTGCTTGATGGAATTTCCCTTAAATTGAATTTTGAAATATTTTGTCAAATGGTGCATTTTAAACTTACTTCGTTAAATTTAAATTTTAAAAAAGATAGCTGCATCATGTTGCTTCTACAACAATCAAAAATAAACTTTTTATAGTGACTATGTTGCATTCTATTATCCAATCGAAAGTAATCTAATGAGCCTGTTGTTTAAAATGTTATCGTGCATTAACTATGCCTCTACCGGCAATATAGGATACTTAATTTGTAGAAACATTAGCTACTCTTCTTGAATTTCTTGAAATCTGTACTCTTCTCAATTCTTCAATCTCTACTTTCTCATAGAATTCATGCTTAGTGGGGGATTTTTTAGTTGTGCCATAATAGTAAAGCAAACTGATAAACTATTCCTGAAAACGTTTAATCAGTTAATCTTCAAATAGATTGATAATTATTGATGAATCTTTTTCATAATGTATTTCAGAAAATGGTTATAACTTTTAAATCCTTTATATTATATTTTATTATATAACTAGCTGCAAGGACCCACTTCGCTGGGTTTTTAAAAAGTAACGATAATGAAGATTAAGATAATTACATTATAACCAATCTTACCCGTTTTCACAAAATGCAAGAATTAGGCCCCCCCATTTCCAGAGTAATTAGAGACCTGGTCCCGATTCTATTTCTGAACGTCTCCTGTTCACGTCCAGTCAAACAAACTATTTTCAACGTTTTTGGAACGTTTACAATCTTTTTATAATTGAACCAATATTCGAATTTTATGTTCGAATTAAATTCGAACAAATTTGAACATAAAATTCGAAATAGAGAACCACTTTCAAGCCCATATCTCCTGCACCCTTATAGCTATCGAGACGCAACCACCCTGGTGCATGAATGGAGACTTGGGGCTACTACCCCATACAAACACCATTCATTTGTGCGATGTGTAGTTTTGGCGGAAAAGTGAAATATAGGAACACACACGTCCATTTTTATATATATATATATAGATATCAATACTTTCCAGTTTTCAGATTAATTTGGATTGGTGTTAATAAATGTTTTGTTGCCTATGTTTTAAGGCTAAGATTTTAGATTATGTAACACAGTTTTAATATTGAAAATTTATTGTATTAAAGTTTACAAATTCAAGAGCAGTTATGTTTATAACTAATTAAAGATTGTAGACTTATTTTAAATATTTTTATTTTAATTTTCTAAAAGAGTTTTATGTATATAATTATATATAAAAAAAATTTATTTCAGAACAATGAAAGATTGTTGAATAGAATCTGTTATGTGAAAAAACTGCTAAGAAGATTAAGAAAAGAAAGAAGGTAATATAAACTTTAATATTTATTTTATACAGTCCACTTGCCTTAAAATAAACATAAATAAAATGAATTGTGTTAAAGCAAATTTTGTTGTTGCCCTGGAAAAACATCAGTATTACAACATTAATTTTCTCTTGATAAAGTGAACAAAAATTTTAACCAGAATTCTTTAAACCAAACTCTATCTTCAAAACCTCAAGAAATAATCCTATTTCCAATAATGGGTGCTTTTACACTTTTCAACATAATAAATAGTGGTAATATAGAATGTTCCATTTCCAGTAGAATAGATTTTCTTCATCTAAAAAGCAAAGATAGGTTTGACCTCCAATTATAGAGCAATTCAAACATCTAGTTTTAGTAGATCTTTCTATGGTACTCAGAAAATAAGGGTTAAAGTTTAAGGATACCCATCCTTTTAAATAGATGTGGTCCCATGCAAACAAATTCTAGTTTGCATATCAGGGAGTGCATACAGTGATATCAGGTTTGGCTAATTGGTGCCAGATTTGGCTCCTTTTTTACTATTTTGGCTTCAAAAAATATTTTATACTTTTTAAACAATTTTCAATAAAAAGAAAATCACTGATTTCTTTTAGCTTTGTTTTGTTTAACCACTATGATATATTGCTACACACTTAAAAAGCAAATACTGTCTTCTCCCCATTCTGTTTGATTTGAAAATCATTTAGAACATAAAATTAAATTTATTTACAAAAACAAATTAATTTAACTTTATTTAGTAATTGATATTATAATTTAGAGATTTCAATTACCTATTAAGCCTTAACTCCCTAAATTATACAACCTTTACCTTGACAATCATTAATACAAATTTTTGATAAAGCAAACTAACTACTGTTTCCCTAGCAATTCATATTAATGAGAGTTGAGTATACATATTAGAAGATATTATGATGAATAATTTTTAATGAATCTGGCACCTTGATATTAAGAATATTCAAAATAATTATTTAAATAGCATTTTGATTATTTGGAAAAATATAATTAGTCCAGTTATTACCTAAAATAACAATTACATAATAAATCATTTCTAAAAGTTTCTCTGACTATAATGTGATTAATTTATAAAAGTATATTGAAATTTTATAATATGTAACATTTTTTTTATAAATTGTAAATTGTAGTTGTAAATTTATATTATTATAAGTTTAAACACAGTACATAACCAGTTATCATGCAATGAATGCTTATTATTGTAACATTTTTAGTATTCTTAATTGACCTCAGGGCCGGATTAACCCACTTTGGGGCCCTAGACATTTTCTTCTTACCAGGCCCCTCTCTCACAAGAAATAGAGCGCACAAAAAATATAAAACAATAAATAAAACAAAACTAAATGATGTGAAAACTAAAACAAATCTTAAATTTTTATTAATAAAAAATATTTAATACACAACAATAAATTTTAGTTTTTCTAGAAAAGTTTGAACAGTTTGTTTATAAATTTAAAAAATTGAAATTTATTTTATTAAATGTCTAACAAAAGTTGTTATACAAAATAAATATTACCTTAAAATATTAATTTTCAACAAGACTGTGTCTTGTTTATAAAATCGTACTGCCTGCTGTGTTACCAGCTTAGAGGTATGAAAGAGTACATGTCAGGAGTTGCAATATGGCACAGAGTATTAAGTGCCAAAATCATGCGCGCAAAAAAAACCAGACTTGTAGGTAGCCTACTCAGAGGACCGAGAACCGAGTCAAAGTAAAATACAAAATGGCGACTCTCTCTACAAACAGGCAAACCGAAGTCAGGTGGTGAGAGTACCACCCACAGTCGTTCTAGGAACTGGACTGTGACCCTAGGACTGAACACGTAGTATTTTCTTTGTTGAATAAAATTTGTAATCTAATTTTGTAAATTTAGGAGTGCTTCAAATATGACATTAAAACAGGGTTTTATGTCTTTACAAGTAGGTTTTTTAACATTATCTAGTATAGTAAAATCGTGAAACCGATAAAAATTTGACATTATATTAGGGTTGTCGTTACATCCGATGACGTTATAATCGGGTTAAACTGTATATTGTTTGTGCAAAATAAAAAATAATTTCGGACGATACAATAGCCACGATTATTTTTTCAAAAACGGGAAATTCTCGTTAGGCATCGACAAAAATTCAACCCAGGCCGACGGGTTGCAACGGAGAGAAATTTCGAAATTGGATAAGTTAATTTCATCAAAAATGCATCGTGGACGACCTCGTGGTCGTGGCCAGCGAAGTTTGAACGATCGCTCCCAAAAGCAGCGATACCAAAAAAGATTGGATAATAAGAACAAGACCCATCTTGAGCGTCAAAGTGATTCTCCTTAGTAGTGTCTCCCAGACATAGTCGTGTCCCAAATACGGTTTTGCCGTTTTACTTGTTTAATTTAACCTTTTTGGTTAATATTTAAACAATATCGTATTTTATCAGTTTTACCAGTTTTATACAGTTGTCCAACAGAAAAGTAAACTATCTTATTTACAAATCTTTTCAAAATAGACAGTTTGACCGGGCCCTAGACATTTGTCTCATTTGTCTATGCGATGATCCGGCCCTGATTGACCTACTTCAGATAATATCTAAATTTTACAATTTACAATTTAAAAAGTACCATACCACTTATTTTATAACAGTTGTACAATGTTCTGTTTATGGGACAAGACAAATTTTTTAAATCTGTGCCAGACTTTTACACATTGAATGGGATATCACAATACATGATAAAAAACAAAAAGTCAAACTAGATTATGATATAAACAAAATAAAAAAGTTCTAATTTATACTTTATAAACTTTACCCCAGTAATTACAATCTTCATTATTGTGTAAACACTATCCATCCTAAAATGTTCTCTTAATTTAATTAGCTCACTCTTAAGTTTTTATTAAGTAACATTTTCCAGCTGCTGAATTTGTAGTGTTTTCTCTATAATGTACTGTCTGTTCTCATTCTGTAGCCTTATGAATGTGTAATGCTTATACACACTTAATAAATTTCCTCTCTTGAATCTTTTGAATTATTTCTATTTGATTCCAGCATATTGCTACAGAATCTGGGTCTGCTATTGTGTTGGCCATTAAGGCTGTAATGGCTATTAATTCCAGATGTTATCTTTCTGCTCTCTTCTGTTTTAGCGATCTTCTAGTGTCTACTATGTAGCATGAGTTGTTATGCCTCTTGCTCTCTTTTAATGGTATTTAGTACACCCAAGGGTTGCCAGAAAGGCACTTTGTATATTTATGTTTGATTTATACTGTAACCTTGTTTTGTAATTTTGTATAGTATCTTGTACTCTAGCAACTACTGAAGCAATTACCGTAAACTCTCATATCTTCTTTCACACTTTCCTATTTTTCTTCCATTTCTTATAGTGCTAAGTCTGCCACTAAATGACAGACAGCTCTTGTACTCTTTAAGTAAAGTAAAGTACATCCCAGGGATGCATATCAGGTCAATAGCCTCTTTGTCATTCCTTAGCATCTTATTATTTTATGCTTAACTCCAAATCAGTGCATAAATTTCTTTGATGTAGTCTCCTGTCCTGTAAGTTAGTTCAATGTGTATATGATTGTTTTATATGTTGTTGCCAATCTATAACTTATTGGGTCATATGAAGCACAGAGTATAAATATTGGGTTGTAAGTTGGATTCCTGTAAATATCCATGGTGACAGTGCATCCCTTTAATGTGATTGAGATGTCAAGAAACTGCCCAGCAACATTGCTTTCCTGCTCAATTCTATTTTCAAGCCAAATGGATTGATTTGCTTGATATTGATATTAGGTTTCTTCCTTCATATTACTAATACATTGACTACATAATGCACATACAGAGCAATGCTATCTCCATATTTAGGTATGGTTGCTCTCTCTAATGACGTCATAAACATCACGAACTCATGAGTCCTGGATATGAGGCTGCCCATGGGCCCTCTATTCTGCTCATGCACTAACATGTTGAACATGAAAAATGATGACTAGGAGTGTGAACTCAAGTATTTCTGTACGTAAGCTGTCCAAATTGCTGATTTTGTTCATTTGGAAATTTCTCAAGTGACAAAAACACACTTCTGGCTTAATAGAAGGGTACAGTGCTTTGAAATCCAAAATTGTAATAAATTTCTCACTCACAGCTCTAAATTCTGTAGCTTCTGGATTAGGTTTAGCAGATGCTTTGTGTTGTATTTGTGTGCTGGCAAATATTTGCTGACAAATCAATTGAATGTGTGTTCCAGCAGGATTGCAGACAAGCAATGCTTATCTATTACTGGTCTTTTGCAATAATTGTTATTTAACTAAAATATCAGTTTTCTTTAATTAAAGATACTTGTTTCAGTAGTTTTATAAAATGTACTTCCTGTCTTGTTCTATAAAAAGTACTTGTTCTGTATACTATAAAATGTTTCTAGTAATTTATATATATAATATTTTTACTGGCAAAAAAGCAAGTTGGCATGGAGATTAAAAATACACATAACAAGGAATAAACACATCAGTTATATCCTGCCATCTGATATATCACTCATTAGGTTTGTCTTCTGATGTGTAAGCAGTTACTGTATTTTTGTTTTTAGCCTTAATTTATATACAAGTTTTGTAAATTTCTGATATTTAATAATTGTTATTTCTCAGAATTTCTTTTATATTTGTTTAATAATTTATTTTAATAATCTTTTTAAAAATTAGACATGAAAAAGATGTTAAAATGTACTTTTTTATTCTATAGGTTTCTGATGAAAAAGTTAGACAAATATGGTGATGATTATAAGAATATTCCCCTAGCTCTTTTTACAGAGGTAAGTATTTATAAAACTTTAAAATTTATTTTAATGTCCTACTGAGTTATGAAATATTTGTTTAAAAATATCACAATTTTCATATTTTGAAAATATGATAAGATTTTTAATTGTAAAATACGTTTATAAAAATTATCCTCATTATTTTTAATAATTTGTGTATTTTGTAGTAAGTTACTTACAAAATTTTAAAGAAATACATTAATCATATAAAACTACAAGCCAACCAATGCAATAGGTTTGCTTGTACTTTTATATGATTAGTAGTGTGATTATTATTTATATTATATGATTATTATATGTAGTTTTATATGCTTGTAGTTTTTAGTTAAAAATTATAATTATTAAATTTATTAAGAGATTGTGCCTAACGCCTCCCTCTAGTACCAAATTGTTTCATAAATTATTATAGTCGTTATCTAGCCCAATTACATATGGCATTGGTTGGCTTATAGTTTTATAACGTATTAGGCTTTAGTGATGTTGTTTGTTTATTCATATATTTACTGTTATGTTATATATTAATAGTTAGAATGCATCCTAAACTGAAAAAATCAAATTCAGAAAATTTCAAAATTCACATATTAATCTAAGTTTCAGCATTGATTAATCACTATAAATTAAATTAATTTAAAGTAATTAAATTAATTATAATAAAGACTTGTTAAATCAGTAAATAAAATTTTATAGTAAGATGCTATATTTGTAATTATAATTAAATTTTCTTACTCAAAGTTGATTGAAATAATAACAGTCTTGAATAGAATGCAAAAATAGAAAAATAAAATTTAAAAAACAACTTTTAAATATATAGAAAAAATATTTAGTTCTAAAAGTTTCAAATAAATGAAAATGGATTTCTATGAACAGAAATTTTAATAATACATGGGATAGTAGGAAAGTCTTGCACAATCTGGCAACTCTGTCACGTGGATGCAATCACATTGAACACTTGCATAAGCATTCTCATAGGCGAGAAGTGGCATGATGGACTGTGCTGAGCAGGAGGTAAGTGACATAGCATCCATAGAACACTCATGTAATGTCACATGTGAAGATCGGCGTGCCTACATCAAAATCGAATCATTATGTGCAAAAACACCTACAGACATCCACAAAGCATTGGTGGAAATGTGTGGAGGTGACACCATTGACCAAAGCACAGTCTCTCTCTGGGTGGACCGTTTTCATCATGGCTGCCAAAGCATCTTGGACAATCTGAGATCTGGATGATCAAAAACTGCAATTGATGAGGCAACTGTGGCATGTGTTACAGTACTGCTTGGAGAAGATCATTACATCATGTGTGATGAGATTGCTGCAGAGGTGGAGATACTGCATTTTTCAGCACATCAAATCCTCACAGTCAACTTGAAGAAACAGAAGATCTCTGCAAGGTGGGTGCCACACCAAGTGACACCAGAACAGAAATGTCGTCACATGGAAACATCAACGGACTTGTTGAACAGATTCAACACCTTGGGGTTGGAGTTCATCAAATGTATCATTGCCATTGACAAGTATTGGGCCAGGTCTTTGAGCCAGAACTGAAGTCTCAAAGTAGTGAATGGCAAGTGGCAGGTTCACCTCAACTGAAGAAGTTTCACAGAGCCCAGTCAAAATTAAAGCTGATGATTATGGTGTTTGACCACGAGGGTGTCATCTTGATGGAGCGAATTCCAGTAGGCACCAGAAAAGTCTACTGGAAGTTCCTGCAAAGTTTTCAGTGGAAAATGCACAAGACATGTCTTGAGCTCTTGCAGTGTGGTGTGTTCATTCTTCACAATAACGTGCAACTGCATATTGCGACAACTTTGACCGACTTGCTCAAGTCCTTCGGCTGGGAAATCTTGCCTCATCCTCTTACAACCTTAGCCCCCCCCACTTTGACTATATTTCTAAGCTCAAACTGCCCCTGTGAAGACAGCGATTCATCTTTGTTGCAGAAGTCTTGGCGGCCATTACCTGACACATTTGTCAGCTCAACAAAAGCGGTGAGCTGACAGGACTCATGGATCTGCTCAAACGCTGGCAGGCAGCGATTGGTCATGAGGGAGACTACTTCGAAGGACAGTAACAACATACTCGCTGTAGTGTTCCTTGGTTTCAAATAAAAAAATACTGTGCAAGACTTTCCTACTATTCCTCGTATGTTGCCTACGTGATTATGATAGAAATAGAATTAAAAAAATCAGGGGAGGAAATTTAATCTTATAATAGGTTTTATTTATTGAAAATTTAAGTATTGTATCTAGTTTTTAAAATTATACATTTTTATTGTTTTAAATAAAAAAATTTTTTAATTTGTAGGAAGAAGGTTCTGCTACGTGTCCTGTTTCTTCTACTATATCTTCAAATGAAACTATTATTCCTTCAGCAAATAATTTTATTTCTCACCCATCAACTGTAACTACTCAGTTTACAAATAAACATATAACACCTAATAGTTGTCATACAGTTAGCAAAAAGAAACCAAGACAAGAAAAAGAAAAAGATCCCAATGCTCCAAAAAGACCTGCAAATCCATTCTTTTTGTTTTGTCAAGAACAACGTTCATCAGTCATGGAAAAATATCAGCAAGAACAAAAGGTATTTTTCAATATTCTAATAAATTAATTACAATAATAATAAGAATCATTTGATTTGATTACCCATTAGAGTTTAATAAAGAATATCATCTATCAAGTTATTTTGATCTGTTGTTATAAATTATAATTTTAGTATTGGGTATGAGATCTGCTGAGTGAATGTTGAGCTATGTTGAGTGAATGTAATTAGGAAGTTAATATTATAGAAATGTTTCAGTGAATATTAGATTTAGTCTAATTAAGATACAAATTTCATGTTTTTGATATTGCACATATGTTTGTAGTTTATAATTGCAAACAATATAACATAAAACAGAATAATATGTAGGATGATTCAATAAGGACTGCTATATGCTCCATATTCTCTTCTTTACTTTTAAAGTTTTTTACAATTTTGAAAGAATATAGAATTTTTATCAGATTTACAGAATTGGTTGAGCTGTCAATTTATAGCAAAGTCTGTCAAGTTTATCTGAATAGTGCAGAAATGTTTCATCAGATTGAGGAAGACAAGTAACAACTTCAGTTATAATTTCACATTTTACCTCAGTGCTAAAATGAACACTTATAGCTGTAGGATTTGGGATTTTGAAAATTCACAAGCAATTGTGAAACATGTTTGTGACAATCCAAAGTGAATGTTTAATGTGTTTTTAGCAAAGATAAAGTGTAAAGTGCCTTCTTTTTCTATGAGGAAACCATCGACATTATTGTCCATCTGCATATACTGGAAAATTTTCTCATTCCATTGTTAAAAGACAATTACAAAGAAAGATTCGTTTACTTTTAGCAAGATGCCACATCATCTCACTACTGCACAGATATTCAAGTATTCCTTGATAAAGTCCATTTCCTAGGTTAATGAATTGGTTGAGCAGGGCTGATAGCATTGCCATCTTGTTCCCTGATTTGCTTTAAATGGTGACATCACAGCTTCAACTGAATATATATGAAGATATGCAGTATTATACTGCTGTTGCTTTCTGGAGTTTTGAGTTAAATGGTTGAAATATATTACATCATTAATTTTGGTATAGAAGTTGCAGTTTGGAACATATAGAAATATTTGGTTTTTATTAGATACTTGTGTTTGTATTGAATTGAGTTTCAGTTTTGAAAGTTGTTCTTAATACTTCTTGAGAATATTGGTTTTGTTGAATTTAAAAGATATTATTTAAATCATGGACATATTTTTTGGCTGTCTGGACAAAGATTTTGAAACTGTAAAATGTTTTGTTGAATCTGTTGTAAAAAACAGTCAAAATTTATGAATGATTATACATTTATGAATTAAAATTATTGGTTTAATTTATTTCATCTTTTAGCATGGGTTTTGCACCCTATGCCATGTATAATTCAGTTAAAATGTAATTTGCTTAATTTAGTGCTATGTATTTGATTGAACTAATGTACTATTGGCAGTTATATGTTAAAATCAAAACAAATAACTTGATATGATGCAAACATCATTACAAGTTAGAATACTTCATAGAACTTGTAACTTTAATCCAATAAATATAATTTGAAATGAAATATTATAGTTTGTCTGTATATATTTGATTTTAAGGATTGTAAACTTTTCAGGTAAATATAGATGATTTTATATTTGTAGATTCTAATATTGTCAGTTATGTCCAGGATTGAGTTTTTCAGTTTGATGTAGCCAGAATATATGGAAATTAGTTTATTTACAGATGAGTTTAGTTTTTATTTTATTGTTAGAAGTTTGTTTTTATTCTTTTTAGAATAATATTATTTCTGGATATGTTTTTGAAAAAGATCAGCAGTTAGAAGTGTGATTAATGTTTTTCCATATTTATGCTTAGATATTTTTAGTAATTTTGCAAATATATATTATAAAATATGTTGAAAATATTTAATTATTTTTGTTTTGTATGTTTTGAAATGTAGATTTAGATATGATTATTGTTTCATTGATTCAGTATTTTTATATTTATGATAATCAGAAATTAATATTATATTTTCAGCAATCTGTATTCATGGATCTTTAATGTAGACTTGTGATTACAATTAAAATGTCTTTAGTAGTGTTGTAACGAATAGTATATTCGGCCTAAGGCCGAATACCGAATATTCGGCCAAGAGCGTGGCCGAATAGCCGAATATTCGGCCAAACTATTCGGCTTGATTAACGCACGTACGGAAACTGGCGCGCAAACCGCATTATGGCAAGGATCCTGCTCTCTATTGGCCTGCTGTCACTACGCTTCGCCAATCGCATTAATTCTTGACAGTTGTAGCGGACAGACAAGAGTGTCATGGAAGTATGTGATAAATGATGATATCAAATGTGGATAATGATGAAATGACCTACACGTGTAAACGGAAAAAGAACAGAGAAGGACCACGAAGTGAAAATGTGAAAATAAATATGAAATTGAGTCGATAACATAATCAAACAAGTCGAGGCAGCTTATTGGCATGAAATTCGCAGCCGTCAATGCCAAACAATTGTTGTCGTAGACTTCGGAAAGCTAAATGCTTGTAATGAAAGTCACTTAGCGTGCACGGGCAAAAGCCTGGGGCCGTTCGGGCTATCAAGCCGTCTCGAATCTGCGAAATCATAACTGTGATTTATATCGACGTCCTATCTGTCTCTTTCCTCCGTTATCACCAGGCTGAGTCACGTAATTGTAAAATGGGAACTCTACGACGGAAAAGTGACGAATCGAAAGTATCGTGAGCGCGTATTATGATGTATGCACAGGCATACATGGATTAGAGCGATAGAGGAAAGAGAAAGGGAAGAGCAAAGACGAGCGCTTAAAAAGAAGGATAGGCAGGGTCAGACCCTCAGATGTGCGAGGATTCTCCAACGATAGACGTGTACGTGTGCTGATCTTTGTAATTATAAATTGTGAATACATGTGACTAATATTATTTTCTTTTTTGTTTTGTGCATGTTACAAGTTATAAATAAATATAAACAAACAACACTAACTTCGATAACATTAAATCTAAATACCAAAATGATTAATTTACTGTGTTTTTGTTATTTCTTACTCCTGTTTTTAGGTATTCGGTATTTGGCCGAATAGTGATTAGATATTCGGTATTCAGTCGAATAGTGAAAAATAGGCCGAATACTGAATAGTAACCGAATATTCATTACATCACTAGTCTTTAGTCTTTTTTAAAATGTGTTGTGAGAAGTTGCTGGAGTAATTTTTTTTTTTTTAGTTTTTAGACAATATTTAATTGATTTAAATATTTGCCAATAAACCTCGAGTTAATTATTGAAAAAATATGTCAAGTATTTATATTTTGCATATTTTGACAAAATGCCATTATGAAACCAATAACATCTGCTAAAATATATTAAAAAATTACAACATAATGTCATAATCTCTTAAAGAAACCTTATATAATATTATAGATTTTTTTAACTTTAAAATGAAAAATATTTATGAATTTAATCTCAATTTGAAAATAGAAAGTAAAGGAAAAATTTACTATAATTTTATTGTAATGAAAATTTACATTTTTAATATAATGTAATTTCAGCCTTAAAATTTTTATTTAATAGTAATAATTTTTAAATAAATATCTTCCTACATTATTATCATTTAATATTGGTGAAGAAACATTGATATCTTCATTGCTAGGAATAATACTGTGATATTACTAACTTTATTTTAATATTTACTTTTAAAAAATGTCTTAATTTTAATATTTTAAATCTTTGTTATAATTATGTAAGTATTTTTTGTTTGATGTAAGTTAGGTAAGTTATGTTTGATAATTATATAAGTATTATTTTTCCAGGAAGAAATAACACATCAAGAATTAACAAAAACATTAGCAAAGAATTGGAATAATCTATTGGCTGAAGATAAAAAAGTAAAGTTAATTAAAAGTATTTTAAATTTTAATATTTTTAACAATTTTTTATCATTATTTATCTGCTATTGTTCCTTTAAATGCAGCCATCAAGGGCAACAGTAAGTCAAATATTTAAATATTTATTAAAACAGACAAATTTATACAAATAATATATTTATATGTATTTTTACATGTCATGCACATACATACACAAATAAATACAAATGTGTATAATTTATGCTTTTATTACATAAAATGAAATCAAAATAAAATGTAAGTTTACTTAAACAATAGTTCTTTTATTTACATTTCATAAATACAGGAAATCTTTGTTAATTTGAACTCAAATAGTTAAAAATCCCATTGGTTAGTAACTGTTCTTTTGTCCCAGCTTTACATGTTAAGGAATTTGATTAGTTTCAATGACGGATGCTTTGAAATTCGAAGTGAAAATTATGTCTGAACTGTGATATGCATACATTAACTTTTTTTTTTTTTTTTACATTGAAGTGCTTCCGTACTATAACAATAGACTAAGAACAACTCTAATCTGGTCAATATGGCTTTGCTTTTACAGTAACACATTTTCAGAACTCATCTTACCCATGAACTGCCTTTTTTTTCTCTTATCTCATAAATTATGGCTGGTTTTCAGGATTACAAGATTGGACTATGAGTAGCAGATTGAGATATTTGTAGGGCTCTAGGCTACTACGTTTAGGTGACTTACTACTTTTTGGGCCTCTTTAAAAATAATTTGGGCTATGTTTCAAAGAATTCTGCTTTACTTTTTATAAAACCTATCTGGTAGCCTATGAGCTCCCAGAATAAGTTTTACAAATGCTGTTTACCTGCAGTTTATTTATATTATTATTATTATTAATTATGAAAATAGCATTTTGTATATGTAGCCGTATTCTGTTTGCTTAATAAATAACATCAGTTACATGACATTTGGCATATTGTACAGAAATATCTAAATCTTGGATCATTTGAAACTCAATAATTTGATGTCAAGATTATTTTGTCCCTTGAATTTTTAGTTAACGAGGATTTCCTGTATGTAAATTAGTTGAACTAACATCAGGAGATATTGATAGGGATTTTTTCAAATGTATATATATCTACAACTTTCATAAATTTTATCTATACAGTAAGTTTTAAATTAATGAGAGTAAGCACAAATTATTAGTTAGAAACATGTAGAATAAGATTAGAAACTTCATAGATAAATTTTGAATAACAAAAACTTTTGCATTGTCTTAAATATTTAAGTTTTTGAGCAAAAGTCACTATTGCTCAAAAACTTCTTTAGATATTAAAAAGATTTTTATTATTATTAAAAGAATTTGGTTTTCTTTTATTTATACTCAGATTTGCATATTTTTGATATTCAGTATTTTGTCAATACACTAAACTAATGATGTATAAAATAGACATGATTTATTTTTGTTTTGAAAATAGTCTGATTGGAGTGTTTTACACATATATAGTGATGTAAGCATTTACTCAGCAAATACAATACTATAAGTTATTTGCTGAAAAAAAACTCTTATAATTGTTCCAAACAAATTAAAATATAGGTTATACAGGATGCAAATTCAGCTATCTGAAAACTATTGTTCTTGTTCAATTCATTAAAATGTTAATTTTTCAAACATAAATAATAATAATAATATTTTATTCTCTAACCAGTAAATATATACTTGATATATTTTTTAATTTAAAATCTTAAAATAACTTACATTGTATAAACTATTTTTATTTCTTTAAGTTTCTTATTATGTAATGTTTTTGAATTTCTAAATCAGCCATCTTCAATAAATAGTACAGTATATATAGAATGTCAGAATAACTCTTGCAAGTAGCACAAATTCACTAAATATTTTTGATTTAATTTATACCTCCAAAAACTTTAAAATTTACTTTTTTATTATTATATAATACTTATAATTTTAGAATATGATATTGTTATAAATTATTACATTTAGCCTATGATGATATGAATTTTATCATACCAATTGCATTGCTTCTCTTAAATGCAATGGTTGTGCATATTTTAAATTTTAAATCAGGAAAAAAAAACAAAATATGGAGGGGAAAAAATGCAAAATTATAGTAAACATTTGATCAATCATTTAATATTTAATTTCTACATTAGTGATGGTATATTTAGTGTTTTCCAAAAAATTTGTATGAATGAATTGAAAATTAGCAATTATTCATCTTATTGGAGGGATAAAATTATAATGCTGCCTCTAAATCTTAACAAACATTACCAAAAAGTATATTATGGTGCATTTATAGATAGATAGATTGATCACTGTTAAAAAATAAATAAAATCAGGCACATTTTCATATATATAATAGGAACTATTTTATGCTTATTTCACTCACATAGTAGAGCATCAATTATCCGAATGCCGATCAACTGAAACATCAGTTAACTGAAAGTGTTCCAGTTGGACTGTGTCATGCTGAATCAAACGTTTTTGATACTAGATAATTGTATAATTTATTTTATTTGTACAAAATAAAGAAATAATTTTTAACGATACAATAGCTACAATTATAAAAATTTTCATTAGGCTTAACATTGATGAAAATTCTCCGTTGCGTGTCGCTTCGTATTGAAAAATTTAAACATGGGATATATTAATATACTATTATTGGGATATACTACATTATTAATGTATTTTTTTGTACATAATCAGTTATCCAAAAAATCGATTTTCCGAACAACCCGTCCCCAATTGATTTGGATAATTGATGCTCTACTGTATCTATAAGTTATGAGAAAATATAATGTTTTATTGTATAGAAAGTAACTTAAGTAAAGAATACAAAGTTAGATAATTGCTTATTGATTTTGAAATGATAAAAATACAAGGTTGTTATTTTATATCATATACTTTTCATAAACATATTAAATGCAGGGTCTGTACAGACCTGAAAAGTCAGATTTTGTGGTATTTTCAGATTTCCTGTCAGTCACTATCACTCCTTTTTGATCTGAGTAATTCTTTAAATTCAGTTTGCTATAGGGAGATGTATGAAAACTGGAGCGACTGAACAAATGGCAATATTTGTTGCACTTATTTGGATTACCAAATTTGAAATTTCCTTTATATTATTGTTTTCATAATCTGCTGCAATATCAACTTTTCTGGATTTACTGTTTCACAAATAATAAATCCAATACAAAGTATATACAGTCGACCCCCGTATAAGATCATTGATTATTCCGTTTTATATGAATTCCATGTTGTACGAGTCACTTAGATTTTACAAATACGTGTACCGGGCTGTGAACGGCTCACGTATTTGTAAAATTTAAGTGACTTGTACAACATGGAATTCATATAAAACGGAATAATCAATGATCTTATACGGGGGTCGACTGTAAATGTGAAATTATTTATTTTCAAAACTATTAACTTTAAAGTGTTTTATGAGACATTTTGTTAGAATTTGTTTTCCATAAACTATATTGCTTCTTATAGGGATGATAAGAAATGTTAAATTAAAATGAAAAACGTTATAACATTTTGCTTTTTGAAGTTGTAATCTATGATTCTACTTCCATAGAATGTGTGAAAGTTTAATAATAATATAATTTGGAATTATTATAATTTTATTGACAAAAAATTTAATCATGTACTTATTTACAGGTATATTATGAAATGTATGAAAAGGAGAAAGAAAGATATGAACAAGAAATGAAAATCTACACAGAGAAAGAAAATCCATCAAATGATAAACTGTGACTAATGATTTTTCTGTATATATGTGAATAAATTATAGTTCAAATTTTACAAATTAGGACATTTCATTTTGAAATACAATGGTAGTAAAAGCAATTTTTAATTGTTCACATTTACACATTTTACAATTTGATCATTTCTAACAAATTCAAACAGCGTGGATTATTTTGGTTTAAAACCATCTTTTTCACGTCTGAGCATACCCATGGTGGCAATTGGATCATTCTGGCCGGCGTGCTGCTGCACAGATTCTTCGTGGACTCTCATGAACGGATTGTAAGTTTTTTCCGCACCGATAGTGGAAGGAATCGTTGCCTCGTTTTTAATTCTTTGATTCTGAAAAACAACTACTTAAAAAAATTCTATACTGCTACCAAAGAATGTAGTTAGAAAACAATACCTGTGACCAAGCTAGTTTTTCTCTGATGGAAGCATTACTTGGTTCTACATGAAGGGCATATTTTAAATTGTTTACTGTATATTCGTGACCACAATATACTCTCTGAAAGTAATTTAGAATTTATAATTACTATTTTATATTAATTTCTAAGCGTTAGCTAGTTATGAGATTTTACCGTATTATCTGGTAAAGAACCAAGAATTTTGACTAGGGCTTCGTACATTTGATCAGGTGTTCCTTCGAAAAATTTTCCACATCCTGCCACAAATAGTGTGTCACCTAGAAATACACACATCAAATTCATTATGTTAAAAGATTCTATCAATTTAAACTTTGTTTAATATCTGACCAGTAAAAACCGCAGGATCATTGTCGTGTTTTCCAGTAACGTAGTAACATATATGTCCGCTAGTGTGACATGGGGTAGACAAACACTTAATGTTAAGCGATCCTAACTACAAATAGAAAAATATTCATGTTAACATAAATATATCACATTAACAGACAAAAAAACACATACATACATTAATTTCATCTCCATGTTTTACTTTATTGTTTAATGCACCTACTCTTTCGTCTCCACCACACACCATTAAGGGGGAGGCAAACTTTTTCACTAATTTTTCATTTCCTCCAGCATGATCCCTTTAAAATTGCAAAATTAATCAATTCTCTCAAATTCAAATGAATTATATTAGACACTTACCAATGATGATGTGTAGTGAGTACAGTTGTCAGTTGTGCCCCACTCTTATTTACTGTATCTATAACCTAATAAAAAAAGTTTGTTATCATTTGATTATACTGAAATGTAATTTTTAAATTAGAAACAAATTCTTTCAGTTAAATATTATTGTCTTTAAGAAAGTTTGAAAAATGACTTTGTTATACTGTTGATATCTGTGTTGAAAAATTGAGTAACATGCTGTAAGGAAAAAGTTTACAACATTTAATATTACAGAGATGTTGATCAAAATATCATCACAATTCAACACACGGTAACAGTGGGTCCAAGAGGCTCTTCTACTTTCAGACAAAAATCAGGCCACTTACAACCACTGAAAGACAAGATTGAAGAAGTGCTGTCAAGGTAAAAGAAATACTTTCACTGTTTACAACACAGGTCTAATACCTAGTGCTATGACTTTTGAGTTAATTAATTGGCTATATATTTCAATATGACCAATTAATGATCAAGTAGCATTTCATTTCTGAGAACGTAGAGCTCATTTCAGCAACACAGTGCATACCTCCAGAGCCCATGTTTGCATTCATTATTATCAAAAAACTTCAGATGAATAGACTGATCATGGCAGTAATCTTTCTTCTGTTCAAACATGTTTGAGATGTAATGTGCCAGAAATTGCAACAAATGCTACATAGTCGAGCAATAAGTATGTTACACAGACAATGTCACTCGGGAAGATTGTGCAGTGTTATATATTAACCTATCTTGATGTAGTTAAGAACATCTTGCACCTGTGAAGGTAAACAGATTATTGACTTTATCCTCTAATCTCTTTGAAATTTGTTATTTGCAAAATTGAAAAAATATGTAATCATTTGCACATGCTACTATTTCACTCTTTCATTAAAATCCCACTAATTGTTCCAGGCATAAACTTTTCCCCACAGCATAATAATAACAAATATTATCTTTAAATATTATATATGTTTTTGGGAAAAACAGCTAAAATCAAATTTTTACTAATCTCTTATTTCAGAGAGATAGCAATTATCACTTAGATTTAAAAACAATCTTATGCTGCTTATCTTTAAAAGATGCTGTTGCTAAATTATATTAAAGACTTAAATTCCAATGATAAATTATAACTAAAAATTTTAATTTTAATTTAAAAATATACCTTTTCTGGATCAACAGGATCCACAATAGCTGCTTGACGAGTATCATCATCTATCAACAAATACATGTAATTATCTTCTAAAGCTGGTAGCAAATATATCTGCATTTCGGTCTGCTTTATATTCAACACCTTACTATGACAACCTGAATTGTATAAGTGATTTTTGCATGTAAATAAAACCATATCTTTATACAGAGAGTATAAATCAAAATTTTAAAACATTAAAAATGGATAACATATGACTGAAATTTTGCATCATATTCAAGTAAATTAATAATAATGTCAAACTTTGATTTTTATAACTTGTCGAGACTTGTTTATTTGAGTTATCTATAACTGGCAAAGATGCTTTCAGATGGTTGAAAATAAACTTTAACCTAAGTAATTCCAAACAATAATTTATGATGTAGAATAAAGTTGTTGGAAAATTTAAAGATTTAATTTTTACTTATAAGATGCTATTATTTCTTCTGAAAGTTTAAAAATTTAAAACAGGAAAAACATCTTCATGTCTTCAAAAAAAAAACCAACACCTTTGAAAAATAAAGCATAAGGGGCATTATCCTTTTGCATGATATTGCAAAAGGATAATGCTGAGTTTTCTCAGTTACTTTTGTTTAGACTAGGGTTGCTCAAAGATAGTCAAGGAGCATGGAGGCATTCTTTTCCAAGAGGTCAACAATTAGAAGCAGGGTCATCATAAAAGCAGATCATCATGTTTCCAGTGACCTGTTGACCCTGAAACTTCTTGTGTAGAAGATAACAAATCATACCACTAATTGTTACCTGTCTTCTGCACTGTAATGGAGGCATCAGGACTCATCTCCAGTGACTATTCTCTGCACAAAGTCATTTACTTCCTTAAAAAAGCATAGTACTGAAGCATCCATCTGATTCATCTCCTGTCCTCCATCAGTACATATGGGATCAAGTGTGAGCACTTCTCGTAGCCAATTGTCTCGATGCTTTGGCAGATGCTTCCACTAGTGACAGAAAAGTGCACGGCCAGATTTTGGATGCTTGTATGTTGATTTCCTTAAATAATGCCATCCATTAGCACTATACTTGGATGATCTGAATACATTAATAGGTTATTTGGAACCTTTCCTAACACTAAATGCCCATGTTGCAACACAGAATGAAAATTAGGTTCTGCTATACACTGCTGATATCCACCTATGAATTTCAGCTGCTCTGCAACCTTCTGCAACAAGAAACTGAATTACAGCTTGATCTGTTTTGGATGTCTTTGGTACTGTGGTAGCCATCATTTCCTTCTTGACACTACAAATTCACACACCTAACTAATATATCATTCAGAAATGTAAATCACAAATAGATTGTCTCAGCCACAGAGGTCACTTCATTCTGTAGGCAATGATTTGATTTCCTAATATTAACTCTCACAACTTTTAGTTCATGCCAATAAAACAATTTATTATTTTCTATTACTATAAAACATTACTGAAATTTGAATTATGTAAAAGTTAAAAAATTAATTTTCTAATATTTAATATCATGTAATTTTTCTATTATTGATATTGTTGTCTTCAAGAAAAAACAGAATTTTTGAAATAGTCATATCAAACTAAACGAACAACAAACACATTTTAAACCTGCATTAAAACAATAAAAATACACTGCTGGCCATTAAAAATGCTACACAAGGAAGGAAAGCAAATAGCAAAATCATATTTATTGTACACATACAGTATAATGGGAGGAAGACAATTAAATTGACAGGTAATTTTGAGGTACAGAGAATGTAGAAATCAGTACCCAGAGCAACTGCCCATGGCAGCAATAACAGCTGTAATCTGGCTGGGAATCGAGTCAGAGTTTGGCAGGTACAGGAACATAAGTCCATGTGGCTTTAACTCTATGCCAGAGTTCATCTATTGTATTGGTAGTGAGTGGGTGGTGTGCCAGTTTCTCAGCAACCATTCACCAGACATTCTCAATTGGTGACAGATCTGGAGAATGTGCTAGCCAGGGCAACAGTCAATCACCCTTTGTATTCTGGAAAGTCAGGACAACATGCAGTCATGCATTTCCTGGTGAAAGGTAGTGTGACGGTGGTCTCGAAGATAGCGCACAACAGGTCTTAACACATCAGAAATGTAATAGTGGCTGTCCAAATTATCAGTAATGCAACCAATTGCTGACCAGGATGTGTACTCAATGGCACCCCATACCATCACTCCAGGTGCTGGACTGGCATGACAATAACGAATGCAAACTAGCAATGATCATTCCCCTCGGTGCCTCCACACGTGGATATGGCCATCATATCCATGTATGCAGAACTGGACTTTGTCTGTAAAGACAATGTACGCCACTCCTGAATCCATTTTGTCATTGAACATACCATTGTAGGAGCGCCTGTCTCTGCTGCAGCATCAAGGGAAGCCGCAACAATGGTTGCCACGTTGATAATCTGTGGTGGTGCAGATGTCTCACGATCAGTGCAGACACTTTTCGTTCTGAAAACAACCCAACTTCCTGACTCAGGGTACATGACATAGCCATACAATTCCACAAGGCCATGCAGACAAGATGTCTGTCCTCTCAGACGTTAGTGACTGGAAGCTGCTGAGATCCTGCATAGCATTCTGAATGGTCCTCCTGGACCCATCGATTCCATATTCTCATGACAGTCACAGGATCATGACCAATGCAAGAGCAATAGCATGGAATGATAAACAACAGTTCCAGTAGGCTATGATCAAATTCTGACATATTCTGGTATTCTGGTAGGCATTCCTCTTTACACAAGGCATAACAAAACCTTTACACAAGCAACCAACATGGGAATGCAATTTCCATACAAGAAACCAGCTTTAAGATCTTCCCTTTGATACAGACTGTAGGTGGCCTTACTCCTACTTGCTTTGTGAGCATGCATTGAAATGCTAATCATTTGCATATCCAAGCATGTTGTACCTTTTATACAAAAAATTGTTGCATGATTCTTTCATGGTGTACCAATTTTAATGGCCAGCAGTGTATAATTATAATGTGATTTTTGTATGGTTCAACATATTTTAAAATCTTCATAATGTTTGGTTATCAAACAGAATATTGGGATATACATTTAATGTACAGTACTTAAACAGATTATGATATAAGAAGAAATAAGAAAAACTCTCTCTAATGTATTTTTCTTCATAAAAATTTTTTTAAATGTAAATTATTATTATTAATTATTTAAATACAAATTAAAAATACTTTTATATATTTATCAATTTTTATCAAACTGAATATTTTGATACATATGTTCATATGTTCAATTAATTTCATAGTTTTGTGCTATTATTATTATTATTATTAATTATTATTATTATACAGCTAATCACAAAAAATATTGTGCAATTGTTTCTTGAATACTGTTTTGATATGATTTAACATCTAAGAATGTTTTTATTTCTTGAAATAAAAAAATTAGAAAGTATCCAAGTCATTAAACATTTCTCGCATACTGCTATAATAATTTTAATAAATGAATATATAACTTCATTGGCATTCTAGCAAAAAGATGGAAGAAATATGAAGGGTTACAACTCAAAAAATAATCAGTAGAAGTTACTTTTAGGTAATTTTTTTTGCACAGGTAATTAAATTTTATACCAAATAATTTGTAATATATGACAATGAAAATTTAATTACTTAATATAGTAATAATGCATTCTTTTATTTAAAAAAAATGCACATATTATCAAAGTTTTAGTAACCCTCAACAATTCAAAGTACATTATTTATGAAGAGAAAAACTACTGTATAAAGTCCATCTTCGACACTCATTGCGCCACTTGCCAATGCGAACAATTGCGCCATTTGACAGTTTTCCATCCTATAATGGGATTCCTTATGCGAATTAGTTTTTTCTCTTTTAAAAAAATATTTTAATTTCATTAAAACAATGTTAAATTTCGAAGAATCAATATAAAATAGCTTAAAATTAAACCGTAAATGTCGCCAGAACAGGTTGCAAACATCTTTTCGTGGCGCAACGAGTGCCAATGTAAACAACTTGCAATTCTCTTTTGTAATCAAATTAAAAATGCGTTTGTATTAACGCAAAATGTGTTTTTATGTCAACAATTTAACATAAGCGCGGGAAATTGCGCGTGCGAAGTATTGAAATCGACAACGTGACGTCGCTTAGGCTTAATTTTCATTATTCAATTTAAAAATTTTAAGGTATAAAACAACATTTAATCATTGATTATTTCATTTAATAACATATAAAAGTATATTAATTAATAATGCGTCTGATTATTACCTGGATTACTTATAAAATATTTCTGTAGTTTCGCAAACCTGAAGAGGTATCGACTAGCGTAATTAGACAGAATCGAATTGAACATTTTTCTTTTTATTTTATTTTATTTATTAACTATCTTTTCCAATCGATATTTTTATATATATTTAAGTTTTGATGTGTGAAGTATTAATTAAATATTAAATATATCGAAGTTTGTAAAAGAAAAAAAATATTTTAAATACATTTTTCGTGATGAGTTAGTGGGCGTTGCTAAACGTAATTTTTGAATTTTATTTTAAATAATTTTAATTATTTTTTGTGTACAAAATAAATTAATTATATTAAATAATAATTCGAGTAGAACGTTAATTAATTTTATATATATATTTATTTGTTAATCTAGAAATTTTCCTGAAATTAATTTTATGTGACGCATTGACCGCCGGATGGCCGAGCGGTCAAGGTGGCTTCTACCGCTCTGGTGGACACGGGATCGAATCCGAACGGATCGAAAAATCCCAGGAATTTTTCGGGGTGGTTCGTCCGGATATGTCGGGCCCCGTCCCTCAACACCCGGCAGCCACATTGTGGGCCTGGCCTAATCCATAATGGGCTTGCTAAATGAGGCCTTCTTAGTGTCCACAGGGCGGAAAGAGTTAAAAAAAAAAAAAACTATAACGGGCCCGACTCTATTAGGTGGTGACGTTATATGAGTCTAACTTAAATGTCATTCTTACTTTAAAGGGCACACCACCAACTCTAAATACACTAATCTATTTTCTATGTTTATGCTCTGAGTTTTCAGCAAAAGCATTTCTTAATATAATAAAACATAAATAATGAGCTTTAAAACTCATGATCCCCCCATGATTTATCAAATTAATGAAAACTTTTTACATCTCCATTATGCCTCCATTATACAAATTCTAGACTAAATTTTGGAATTAATAAAACAATAAAAAACTGTAAATCTTGTAATGTCTTAATTTTAAAATAAATTACAAAAACTTATTCCATGCTTTTAATAAACTAAGACTTATAATGTGTAATGACTGGCATGTATGAATAAATTATATTGCACTAATTTAATTTTTTTTATTTACAACAATGGTTCTGAAACAGTTCATCCCATAAAGAGGATTAAATTTTCCATGAATATTATGAAAGTACATTTTAAAAATGTATTTTCATAATATTCATGTACAGTAGCATTGCTGACAAGTTTCAGTTTTTACAGGGCCATTGTTTATAACAGTCAGCGTATTTTTTGAAACGTTTTAATTCTACAGAAGAACAGTTATCCGATACTTTCGTCCACACATTTTCTTCTTGTTATCGTTCTGAGAGTTTTGTTTCATTGTTTAGCAGAGGAAGACGAAAACATTAATGGTATTAGACATTAGTGTATCGATACACTAATGTCTAATACCATTAATGTTTTTATTATATGAATAAATTACTCCTCTTTTTGTCGTATGCAAGTGTTGTAGATCACAGATAGTGAAAAACTAAAAACCAGAAAAATAAAACAAATGCAAGTCGTGAGTGATTTTGTAAGATTTCATTCTGTTTAATTAATATTTATCTAATGTCTTGTCTTTTTGTTTCTTTTTTGTGATGAAATTTCTTATAGAAACATCGAGAGTTTTTAACCAACTAAAAATCTCACTAAATGCTTTAATATCTTAATATCCACTAATTTGCCATAAAAATTGTTTCGCACCAGAAATTCCGCTAAATTTTGATATTTCCACCAGATCTAGTGGGTTTTCCACTATACTGGAAGGCTGTGAGCCGCCTTTATGCGAACTTTAAAAATTGCTTCTTGAATGTTAATGAAAGTAATTAAAAAAATAAACACTTTTATAATTATAATATACTAGGCGAATCAAAAGTGCCTTATATTCTTTACATTCCAAAATTACTGAAGATATATTAATTTTGTTAATGTAGTACGTAGAAATTCATGTATGGAGAATCAAATGGGACCTTTTTTTTTGTTGTCCTTGAAAATGATTTTTAACAGATAGAAAATTTCGCATTTTCACAATATGATTTCACCATTGTTTGTATATACGGTGAAATTTTCTGTTTAAATTTTTATATACGTACAATTTAAATGCCTCCATTTGAAGAAGTAAACATTGGACTGTTGTGATGAAATTTCGGTGCTTCAGTGGGTTCATGAAATCTGGCCCAAACATCGTAACTTGTATATCTAAGAATATGGTAGAGACATTGAGTATATCTTATAATCATTTTACGTATACTTTACACGTGAACTCCTAAACTATTGAAATTGCGGCAAAATTGATGCTTTTATCGTGTTTCTGGGCTTAACTAAATCCCCTTTCCATTTGAAAGTTCTGAGCTGCATTGACGATGACGCCCGCCAGCATCACCTTCACTCCCATACAGGTTTTACTCCGGTTACTATCTTTGCACGTGAAAAGTCAATCTTGTCAACCCTGCTCGAAATTAAAAGGTGTTTCCAGATATTTGAATCATTTTGTAATGTTACTTTTTAAGAAACCTAACTGTCTACAAGTCAACATGTTTGAACATGTTTGATCGAGAGAAGCTGTGTTGACGGCATGAAGTCGAGCGGTTAAGGTTAACCTTTGGGACCCGGAATCGAATCGGGACGAGTTTTTCAACTCATCCTGATTCGATTTTGGGGGAATTTTTCGGGTCGGATACATCGGTCTCAATTATTATCTCTTATTACTTTTTATTTAATTAATAGTATAATTTCGCCTTTTCCTCCCTCAATTGAATTTAGCGCTTTTTTGACTCAATCTAGTATTATTTGAAAATTTAAGGTGGCAACATTCATACAAGTTTTATTTGAAAATGGCGGCCGAGTCTGAGAAACACGTGGATAAGAAGATGAAGAAGGGAAAAAAATTCGTAAGTTCTTATTACTAGAAATATTACATAAATGTGATAAAATTATAACAAACAAAGTTATGACTAAGTAACAACTTTTGAATTAAGGATAATTTATTTTGCAGTTAAATAATTAAAGTATCTTTTTTGTTTGGAATTTTGATAGGGACTTCATAAAAGTGGTGTAATGTATGTTGGACATTTACCGCATGGTTTTTATGAAGAAGAGTTGAAGAGTTTCTTTTCTCAGTTTGGAGCAGTTAATCGAGTCAGAGTAGTAAGAAGTAGAAAGGTTTGTATCACTATTGTTTTAATTGTTTGAAATTTTATTATTAAATAAAGTAAATTACCGCTGTAATATATAATATTTCAATATTGGATGTAACATTAAACAAATGGAAGATGGAAACAAATACAATATACAGAAAGTTTGATAAGAGTACAATACATAAGGGTTGATCAAAAAAAAAAACAAGGTTTCATACTCGATCATAAGAAAGAAACTTGTCTGAGATATCGAATATAAGATTTATATATATATGTTGTATTGTTTGCAGTCATAGTTGTGGGGTCGAGTGTGAGGAGAGCAAGACAAAAGAAAATTGGAAACGATAAAACAACACGTCAGTTCACTTCCGGGTACTTGCTTGAACTTCACCTTTATTCCTTTTAGTGTTGCAAACCTCATTCCGAAAGGAATGAGATTACTAAAGCAAATAACACAAAATATATAAAATTTACAAAAAATTAAAATTATATACATAAACAATTTATTGATGTAATCATCTTGTTAACTGAGACATTTATCTGATAGTCTGACCAGCTTTTTCATTATAAGTTGAAAAAATCATGGTAATTAATTTTGTTAAGTACACCGTGTGTTTCTTTTTTTATTTTATTTTAAAACAGACATATTTATTAGACATTTTCAAACCAAAGAATTTTTTATGGGCAATCTGCATATAAAGTGCTATAAACAAAATTAGGACTACTTATTTACTGTGTCCCATTTAATATTCCATTGCTTAAGCTTGTCATTGTGGTCAGATGACAGAGACACAAAGTGTCTGTCAGATAACCTCACTTTGATATTATTACACTTCTGAAGTGTTTTCGGACAACTTATTCCTGTAAAATAATTTCTTCTTTTGCACTACATTATGGGCAACCTGCATATAAAGTGCTATAAAAAAAAATAGGACTACTTATTTACTGTGCCCCATTTAATATGCCATTGCTTAAGCTTGTCATTGTGGTTAGATGACAGGCACATAAAGTATCTGTCGGGTAACCTCACTTTGATATTACTACACTTCTGAAGTGTTTTCGGACAACTTATTCTTCTTGCAAAATAATTTATTCTTTTGCACTACACTTTGCAGGAATCACGTGATATTGCAGTGATCTCTTATTCCCAACATGTGATTACCTCTTTTGTGACTCTGAACAGCCTGTCTTCGGAGTCACAGTTTGATAAACTTTGCCTTAGTTATGCATCCATAATACTGTAACATTCTATAACAAAATCCACTGAGTTAAGATTTGACAATGGCAATTTATTTTTTGAGATTAACTTCAATAAAAATAATAGGTAAAATAATAGATAATCAAATTGCTTTCAAATTCAGATTAAATGCTTATTACTATAAATTTGTTATCTAAATTTACAAATATATATGTTTTATATAGCTAATCACTTTAATTTCAAAATTGAAGGTTATATAATAATAATATATATTATATGAAAGATGTGTGACCAATACCACATAAAGACGTTGTTTGTTTGGAAATAAAATATTTTATTTAAAACAATAAATGCAAAACATGTTATAGCAATGTTGTTAAAACATTTTCTGTTTGTGCACCAGTATTTTTTTTTTATTGCTGCATTTGAAAAAAAATGCAGAACTATAAATTCCCATTGTCGTCATCTGTTCATCTTTCCTTAATTTTAAGAATGGATTAAATTAAATCTGACTTACAGAACCTATAACCGATGCGTATCCAATTGTTCTTTCAACAATCAAATGTTTTCCTAACCCCTTCTGGTTCTTCATCAGGAGAACAGCTGGATCAAACAGCAAACAACGAATAGAAGAAGTTTGAATAAATCCGAACTTCGTAGAGTTTGAATCGTTCAATTCGCTTACTCCGTCACGAGACAAGATTGAAATTTTGTACTGGAAGGGATCACATGAGCTTACTGTATGTATGCCGATACACTAGTAGGTTTGCGAAAAACCAATGTGCGGATGATGGAATCTTCAAATCTTATGTCCAATCCAGGAAATGTACTCTGGTGTTACTGTGTTGTTCCATCCCTAGTGTCAGTCCATACGGGTTATCATTTATTTCTTCTAAAAAACAGGATAAGTTGGGAGTTGTCCTCCATAAGATGATGATGTCGTCAACATATCTTTTGTACAAGATAATGTCGTGGAGGAATTTCCATCATTTGCACATCGGTTTTTCACAAACCTACTAGTGTATTGGCATACATACCAGTAAGCTCATGTGATCCCTTCCAGTACAAAATGGCGGCATTCAGGGCATTGGTCAAACAAGCTTACACACACTCTTCCACACAAAAAGCACTGATGGAGGAGTTAAAATACTTGGAACGTATCGCCAGGTCCCACGGTTACCGAAATATCATACAAAAGATCGTGGAGGGCCACGAACAAACACAGGCTTCTTCCAACATTGTAGTGAACACACAAAACACAAGCAATAATATGGAAAATGTGAGGATACCCATTAAGTTCAACCCTCTATTGAAGTCTCTGTACAGCACCATTGCTAAACAACGAAAAGTCAACATAGCATACAGAAGGTGCAGCACCTTGTTTGATATCCTACGTAATGAAAAAGACAGATCCAGGACGGAGAGGTTATCAGGCGTACATAAAATTCCTGTAAGGGACAACAGGTTTAACAGAGACCTGGTATACGTGGGATCAACTAAATGCCCATTAGAGGTTAGATTAAAAGAGCATATGTCGGACATACAACACAACAGACACACAACCTCGCTCTCCACCTATGCCACTGATCCCGATATAGTGGCGGACTTCAATAGAGCAAGGATAATTGTCTCCACACCCCATATTCACCAACTAAAATGGCTAGAAGAGATGGAAATTTTTAGGGCGTATGACACATCCGATTGTATTAATTCAAGAGAAGAAATAGGCCTTTCCATGGCGTGGCAAAACCTACTCCATACAGAGTGATAACAAAATATTTTTTATTAAACCTTAAAAATAAATGATAATAGGGAACATGAGAATATTAAATATTTATATCTCAATAACACATTTTGTATCTTTCTCTTAAATTTGAACATCGACCGTCGAATTAGAACAATTTCAATTTCAATCTTGTCTCGTGACGGAGTAAGCGAATTGAACGATTCAAACTTTACGAAGTTCGGATTTATTCAAACTTCTATTCGTTGTTTGCTGTTTGATCCAGCTGTTCTCCTGATGAAGAACCCAGAAGGGGTTATGAAAATGTTTGGTTGTTGAAAGAACAATTGGATACGCATCGGTTATAGGTTCTGTAAGTCAGATTTAATTTAATTTATACAACCCGATGTGCAGTTGCTATTATATACTTAAGAATGGAGTTACATAGATGAAAGATAAGACCAGATATGGAAACCTTAGGGGCAGGAGGCTCCCAATTAACTATATACGAACTTCTGATGCAAACCAGAAGTAATGTTATTTCAATTTTCCCATGAAAGGTGTTACAGATTACTGGCAAGACTCTATTGTTAAAGAAAAAGTATGATGTACAGTAGCATGCCACTATTAATTTGAGATGGAGATCATATATTTTAAATTAAATAAATTAAAAATATGATTAAAGATTGCAGCCTGGCATTGTGACAATGTTTTCATTCCAATACCTCATGGACCAATACTTTTGTGAAATTAAATTAAAATAATTATAAAATGGAGTTTAAATGCATTTTTGTTTTTTTGAAAGTTTAGATAATAGCAGTAAATAAACAAGTAAAACAGCAAAACCGTATTTGGGACAAGACTATGTCTCGAAGACAGAATCACTTTGATGCTCAAGGGAGGTCTCGTTCTCATTCTTGTATCTTCTTTGATATCACTGCTTTTGGGTGCGATCATTCAAACTTCATTGGCCACAACCACGAGATCGTCCATGATGCATCTTCAATGAAATTAAGCTATCTGATTTCAAAATTTCTCTTTGTTGCGTGTCGGCTCGGGTTAAATTTTTGTCGATGTGTAACGAAAAGTTCCTGTTTTTGAAAAAAATAATTGTGGCTATTGTATTGTCCGAAATTGTTTTTTTATTTTGCACAAACAATATACAGTTTAACCCGATTATAACATCATCAGATGTAACGACAACCCTAATACAACATCAAATTTTTATTGGACCTACGATCTTACTATATTAGATAATGTTAAAAAAAGCCCACTTGTAACGACATAAAACCGTTTTAACGTCATATTTGAAGCACTTTCAAATTTACAAAATTAGATTACAAATTTTATTTAACATGGAAGAAACTACGTGTTCAGTACTAAGGTCAGAGTTCACTTCTTAGAATGACTGTTGGTGGTACTCTCCCCTACCTGACTTCAGTGGAGTGAGGTGGCTGTTTTGTGTGTTTGTAGAAGAGGGTTGCCATTTTGTATTTTATTTTGACTTGATTCTTGGTCCCCTGACTACCTACAAGTCTGGATTTTTTTATGCGCAAATGATTTGGGCACCTAATACTCTCTGCCAAATATCAACTCTTGACATGTTCTCCTTCATACCTCTATGCTGGTAAGAATGGGTGGCAGTATGATTTTATAAACAAGACATAGTCTTGTCAATTACGGTGAAATATGGTTCTAGTCATTTTGAAAAAATTTGTTTGTGGACTGATTTCAATTACTGATCCACTTATGACACTAAGTGTTTAAGTAATCTTAAAACATTTATAGCTTTTAATATACCAAGTGGCATAAGAAAATAATTTTGTACTGAAAGAAATTTGAAGTAGTGCAATCAACTAAAAATTGTCAAGTGGGATGTCTTTAACAGAATCTTTTTAGATACAATCTGAATCTGAATTGATCTAAACACAATCTGGTAGATTCTTAATGTTTAAATTTAACAAAAATGTTTGTTTAGTAAAGGTTTTGTGCTGGAGATCCACAAAGGTCGTGTTATATATTTTTTAGAAATGCATTCATAAAGACAAACAAACTTCGAATTACATTTTTCCAGACTATTTTAGTCATGTATAAACTCAGAATGAAAGATTGATTGTTGCTAAACATGTTCAGAAAAGTCCTAAAAACAATAAAATCTTAAAATTTACTTGAGTGGGAATTGCAGCCTTAAAACTTTTCTATCAAATTATTCTTTAAAAAAGAAAATATAATTTCTAGAATAAGAAGTATTAAATTTTTAATATTGTATATTTTTTTCTCTAGTAAAGCATATTTTTTCTGAATTCACTTTAGTCTATTATTATTTAATAACAGTAATTCATATATTACAATAGACTTATTAATTTGAACTCATATAGACTGCCTTAATCAGTTTGAATTAAAAAGAAACTATTTATAGCTGCTGCAGAACAAAAAATAATAAATTTAACAACTCAAAATTCTGTTTGCCATATGTTAATATTAAATCAATGAGAAATACAAAACAAAAGGTACAGTAATGCATTCAATGGAATAAAGAAAAAATTCATTTGTTTCTGTGTTTTTTTTTGTTTGATGTGACAAATTTTATCAGCTGTTTTGAAAAAAGTGGGAATGTAATAAACCATATTTCTGAAGAATACAAACAAAAAAATCTATTTGAGTTATGTTTGATCATATGATGTCTGTTGGCACACATAATCACAGCAATCTTCAAAATGTTATAAGTTGTGTGTGCTGTCACTGGTTTTCTACTTGGACTTCTTCCCTGCCTTCCCTGAATTTTATTCAATTTAAAGGCTTCTGAACTGAAATACATAATTTAGGTGTGTTTTCTTCATCGGTTATTGCCCTACTTCAACATGCAAGTTTCTGTTGTATCTTGATCCAAACAAACACAAAACTTAATGTTAACATGCTGTTCAATAAATACCATTTTTACAAATAATTGATTACTATGAACCTTGTTCACAATATCTGGATGTACTGTACTACAGCAAATGTGTGGCCCATTTGGATGATACCACTTCTCTGCACATGAGGAGTTTGTTGTAAGACAATTGAAAAATCACCATTTGTCTACTATACTCATACATTTTTGTATGGATCCAGTTCCTGAATTTTTTGGACCCTACCTCCGATGTGTATAAAAAATTGAGAGGCTTAATGGAAAAACACTTAACTTGAAAAACTACAAAAACAATTGGATTTGAGCATTGCTGATCTGTCTTTTAAGAAACTTTCACAGTTCAGCTGCATTTCCCATGAGTTGCATATCCAAATTAATAAAACATTACATATTAAAGTATTGGTGTAAAAATTCTTTTTCTCAAAACTTCTGATAGTAGAATATGCCATTTTCCACCAAGCCTTCAATCATTAAAATGTATTATCTTCTTTTTTTGTTACATTTTATTTTCATCATCAAAATTTCGTTAGAAAATTGATAAAATATTTTATTAATTTTGATTTTAAATTTTAATTGCCTTTCTAATTTTTTAATTCTTTTAAATCTTTGTTTTTTTTTAGACTGGAAGAAGCAAAGGTTATGCATTTGTTGAATTTAAATATGAAGATGTTGCCAAGATTGCTATAGAAACCATGAATAATTATTTGTTATATAATAAAATTTTAAAGTGTAAGTGAATTTACATTTCAATTCAAATTGATAAAAATCAAATACAATGACTCCATTCTGAGATGATGTATAACAAAATAAGAAAATTAAAAAGGGGATATAGAAAACTTTTTAAAGGAGATAGAAAATATAAGAAATTAAAAAGTTTCTTATATTATATTATTGATATATTACCAAATATTAAATAAAAGTAACTGCAAAATTAATTATTTTTTTAAAGATATTTTCAATATATATCTAGAGAAAGTGGAAATTTAATATTTGAACAGAGCACTAATGGAATAATCCAGATTCTAGGATAATCCAGAATTCTGTTTGTTTGTGTATGTGTATGGTATATACAGAAGTGTTGTTTTGCTACATAATTGAGTTGGATGTTGTATTTGTTCTAATTGAAAGCACAGAATCAGTGACATGGAAAGAAAAGAAAAAAATACTACAATGGTTCAATGGAGGTTTATAATTCAACCATTACAATAAAAACAAAAGTGTAAGAGACATTGCAAATATTGTCAACATTAATAAAAGTATTGCATGGAATGTAATAAAGTGATACAAGAATGAAAATGGTATAATTTCTGGTATAATACAAAAATAAGTGAGAGATTTTATGAAACAAAAGAAAATACTGAAACAATTTTAAAATGTTATCATGAGCACATGCCAAGAAAGAAACTATTGTTCAAAAAAATTAATCAACAGAAAACATGAATTTTGCAAACTTATGTAGCTAATAATAATAATTATTTCTGGACTAATGTTCTTTTTACTGATAAAAGCAAATATGATAGTTTGTGTTCTGGCACTTCAAAAATATCTGGTGAAAAGTTAATGAAGAACTGAAACTAGAGGACAACTGTTTTAGTATGGGGTGTATTTTGGCATATCATGGTTGTCTGCTGGGAGTAAACAGGTCATTTGTACCTACTGTGTTTGCGGTGTTACATATATTCATGTGGAATTAACTAATAATCCATGGCACCATGGACAAATGTATAATTGAATATTTTATTATGCTCAAAAGTTAGGAATATCTGACACTTTTCACTTTTATTGGGATAATGACCTCAAGCATGAAGCATATTATGTGAGACAGTATTTGCTCTTTAAATGTCTAAAAGTTACAGAAATCCCTCCCCACTTACCAGATATCAATGCTATAGAAAATTTATGGGATGAACTTAAAGAATTTGAACACAGCATCAAGAATAAAACTGATCTGAAAAAAGTGCACTTATCACAAAATGGAATGGAATTAGCCCTGAGTATACTGCAAAACTGATTTATTTGATGCCAAAGAGATTAAAAGCTGTATTGTACTCAAAAGAAGGTCCAACTAAGGGACTGTCCTCATTTGAAGGGGGGAATTGAGCTTTGGTAGACACCTGTTTGTTTCATTAAATTTTATATAATGTGTACATTTATTATATTTATTTCAAAATTTTTTGTGTGTTTTGTTTATATTTATGGGTATTTATCATTCATAAAGGGATAAAGGTTTTAAGGGAGATCGAGTTTAGTTGGATGTCTGAAGAGGGAAAGGGGAGTAAAAATTTTTTAAAAAATGCAGATGTAATTTATGGATAGTTGAATAATGTTGAATTACTAAATTCACTATTTTTGATAATAGGTTCTTTTATTAGTCTGAATATTAAATTTCAGTTTAAAAGTTGTATAAATTAGTCCCGATTTTTTAAAATTCTATACAATTTTAACTTTCATTTTGTATGTCTATAATATGTTTGTTCTAAATAAACCAAATCAACCTTTTCACACACACACACACAAAATGATTATTTGTTATACATCTGTCTGAATATTAAATGGAGTGACATATTTTTTCTTTATACTGTGGATACTTATATTAAAATCTATTACAAATTTTAAAATGTTCAGTTCTTAGTGTTTCACAGATGATCTAAGAATTTACTTTCTTCAAATTTAGGTTCTTTGAAAGTTGCACATTCAGATTTCACTTTTAGTTGCTACTTTCTAGAAAGATTAATCAGAAGTGTTACTGGCTTTTAACTCCAATTACTTATTTAAACACTTTTAGTTTTGTGAATATTGAATAAAATTCCAATAAACTTTGCAGAATTAGAAACTTGTATCAATCAAAAATAATAAAACTGAAATAAACTAGAAAAATACATTCATTACTAATACTAATAGAAATATGAAAATTAATTGAAGACACAGTCTGTTCAAAAACAGGAATCACCATTTATTTACTTCTAGTGTTCCAGAATACAACCCAGCTTTTCTTTTTAGGTTGCTTAATTTAAAAACAACTTTTAAAAAACACAGAAAAATATCCAATTAAAATTACAAATGTAAAAATTAGAACTAGTGGATCATACAGACATCTTTTTTTTTTTCCATTTTTCCTACTTGGGGATGTTTGAGCTTTATATCTACTGGAAAGTAAGCATTGGTAAATGTACATTTATAGCTTTTCCCTAGTGACAAATCTTTGCATAAGTTTCAATTGTAGAATTTTGTCAGATGGCAATTTTATGAAAATTAATTTGAAGACAGTCTGTCCATCATTTACTTTCCAGTAGTTATAAAGCTGAAATATCCTCAAGTGGTAAGGGTGAAAAAGAAAAAGATGTCTGTAAGACCTGCCAGTTCCATTTTTTAAATTTGACCAGGGCTGTGGAGTCGGAGTCGGGAGGAATTTCTGGCTAGAGGAGTCGGAAAAAATGTGTCGACTCCGACTCCCGCATTACTTTAGTTTTTTTATTTAAATGAAAGAAAATTTATTATATACTTATTAATTTTAAAATATTTTTAAATTTTGTAATAATTCATTTATTTTAAATACAAAATATATCAATTTAATTTATTAAATATGAGGTGTTCTTTGTAGTATTTGTGTTTAGTAGTAAAATTATTTTGACCCAATTGAATTTAAATATTTTGGATCATTCCTTTATTATCCCTGCTCTAAGTAAGTACTCTATTTTTCTGAATGAGCCAGACTAATTGATCAGAGTTCATATTTTTCTTTTCTGAACAAGGGGCTGAAGTAGCTAGATCGCACACTTTTTAATTGAACTAACTATTCTGGAAGGGTAAAATACAAATAAATATTAAAAATA